GCCAAATTTGCCTGTTACTCCAGGTGTTTCTTGACTTCCTACTTTTGCATTCCAGTCCCCTATAATGAAAAGGACATCTTTTTTGGGTGTTAGTTCTAGAAGGTCTTGTAGGTCTTCATAGAACCATTCAACTTCACCATATCAAATGTTATTGTTTTTACAAGCAGAACAATTGGGCATTTACTCCAAATAAGTCTATGAACAGCCTCACATTGGTTAAAATTTTGTCTCCAGATGAGTTTAACTCAGGTTGGGGTTCACCTCCAATCTTCATAAAAGTGATCCATAAGGAATTGTGGAACGGAATGTAAGCCACGAAACCAGCCCCGGGCTTCATCAGCTTTGATTCATTGTTTCCCGTGGCTTTTCAGCTGTGTAGGCTGATGAGTGACCAGGAGAGGGAGCTCTTGAGACTCAAAGATGTAGCAGCCAGACTGGCTTCCTACCTGATTAGCAGTGTTAGTCACTCAGTCGTGTCCGACTCTTTGTGACCCCATCGATTTTAGCCCACCAGGCTCCTCTGTTCATGGAATTCTCCAGGCAAGAATACTGGAGTCGGTTGCCATTCCGTTCTCCAGGGGATCTTCTCGACCCAGGGATTGAACCTGCGTCTCCTGCATCGCAGGCAGATTCTTTACCATCTGAGTACCTGATTGGCAGAGCCCAGGGCAAAATGAAAAACCGGCTGCTTTGCCCATGTTCATGGAGAATTTCTAGATGGCTGGAGCAGAGCAGGGGCCCTATGCAGCTGCATGGGTCCCACATGGTGGAGGTGACCCTGAGTGGGGGCTCCCCCTGTCCTGAACTGGTTTCTCCTCCCTAGTAGTCCTGGCTCCAGTCCCTGCTCAGCTTGCCTGCTGGTTTGGGAGCTGCTTGGGGCTCTGACTGAGCTGGGTGAGCTGACCAGAGGCTCAAGTCCTTCCCCCGCCCCCTCGTATAAGACTCCAGGCAGGGCCTGAGATGGGCAGATTGTGGCACAGATTGGGACAGAGTATAGCTCAGCTGGTAGAGAATCCGCCTGCAATGCAGGAGACCCCGGTTCGATTCCTGGATCGGGAAGATCCCCTGGAGAAGGAATAGGCTACCCACTCTAGTATTCAGTCCTTGAGAATTCCATGGACTGTATAGTTCATGGGGTCGCAAAAAGTCAGACATGACCGAGTGACTTTCACTTCACTTCACACTTACCACCAGCCCGAGAGCAGAGGGGCTCAGGGACAGATTTAATTGGCTTTTTAGAAATCAAAGCAGCGAGCAGGGCATTTCCTGTACACCCTGTGGGGGGGGCGGGGAGCATGACGTGTCCTTAGTCTTTGTGTGGTAAGAGCCAGCTGACCTCACTGGGAACCCGCGCTGAATGGGAGACCTTTGAGGAGGGCCTGAGAGTGTTCATATTTCCCAAAGGGGTCAAATTAATACAGTGCGGGACCCTGGAATATAGGAGGAAGAGGAGGGGGGAGTGGAGGCGAGGCCCACAGAGCCCTGACATTTATGGGGGCCAGTGGAGGGACAGACGGGGAGCCTGGAGGGGGTTAGATGGAAGCCAGATGAGGAAGGGTGAGGGCCACGCAATCCAGGGCTCCTGGAGGGGGCTTGGGGGTCTCCTGGCCACAGGGAAACCGCACATGGCTGGTCAGGGGAGCAGAGAAGGGAAGGGGGCAGAGAGGGTCAGGACACAAACTGAAGACGCTCTGTGAGAAAGCCGCTTCTTGGAGCCCAGGGGAGGGCGAGGGGAGAGACGGCCTGAAAAAGAAACGACCCCTGAAGAGGGGATCATCCACCCCGTTACACGGATGGGGAAGCTGAGGTCCGTGGAGCCCAGTCAGCGCCATGGAGTTGGGGCAGGAACTGCGAGGGACCCGGGTGAGTTCAGAAGTGTCGGCTTCACTGAGCTAGCATGGCACCCCACTGTGGTAAAAAGACAGGCCGTGGCGAGTGTTGGCAAGGATGTGGAGAAATCAGAGCCCTCATGCGCTGCCGGTGGGAGTGGAAAGTAAGGCAGCTGCTTCGAAAGCAGTCTGCAGCTACTCAAACTGTTAAACACGGAGTTAGTCACCACATGGCCCAGACATTCTACGCTCAGGTAAAACCCCGAGGGAAATGAAAACTGAGGTCCACACAGGGATTTGCTCATGCATGTTCATAGCAGTGTTATTCCTGATAACCCTGAAGGAAATCAACCCAGATGTCTTGGAACTGATAAACTGATAAGTAAAAGGAGACAGAACCATGGAGGGGAACATCAGAAATTAGTGACATGCTGCCACATGGATGAGCCTGGGAAATATGACACGGAGTGAAGGAAGCCAGCGACAAAGGGGCCCTCAATGTGTGATTCATTTACATGCAATGTGCAGAGTAGGTAAATCTACTGAGACAGAAAGTAGATTAGCTGGCAGGAGGCGGAGAGAAGGGGAAGATTGGGGGTGGGGATGGCTAAAGGGTGCAGGGTTTGGCTTGGGGGTGATAAAATTTTTCTAAAAGTAATTGTGATGGTTGCCCAACTCTGCTAATATACTAAAAGCTATTCTACACTTTATATGGGAGAATTGTATGGTATTGGAATATTATCTCAGTAAAGTGCTTACCTACAAAAAAGAAGGGCTCATCAGAGACCTAATACAAAAGCTAAACCAAGGCAGCTTGAGGTGGCCGGGCAGAGAGAATGTTACAGAAGCAGGAGTTGGGAATCAGCAGACCCTTAAGTCCTGGTCCAGAAATGGCACCCTCCACCCGCAAAAAATCCATTCTTTATGGGTCTTCCCCCGTGGTCCAGAGGTTAGGACTCCGAACTTCCGCTGCAGGGGGCACAGGTTTGATCCCTGGTCAGGGAACTAAGATCCCACAAGCTGTATGGCACAGTCAAAAAAAAGAGAGAGAGAAATGGTGCAACGTCACTTCCGCCATATTTGATTGGCCAAGGCCATCACAGGCCCTGCCCAGAGTCAGGAGAAAGGGCGTCAAGGCTTCTGTAGACAGCTTGAATGTACCACGTCCATTGACAAGCAGGGAGTGCTTACCATGCAGGGGGCCTTCCAGAAACATCCTTCATGCGGGCGCTTGGTTACCCCCGTTTTATGGAGAAGACTGAGCTCCAAGAGTTAGAGAACAGGCTCCAGGCTGCCCACCAGAAGGAGGCTGAGTGTGCACGTGAACCTGGGCTGTCTGGCCTCAGAGTCTGTGCTCTGAACCTCGGCGCTATGCAGCCCTAATAGGTTGTGAGCGCTCAGGTTTACATATAGGAAATACTCCAGAAGTCTTTATTTTCCAAGGCTTACAGAGTGCCTGCTGTGTGCTAAGCACTGTCCTAAAAGCCTCATAGCTGAGGTAGTTCTGTTGGGTTGAACCACAGGAAAGGACTGTGTAGGAAAATATATGGCGGAATGTTGTTCCTTTCAAACGGTTCCACTTCGTCATCCCCTCCACTCTTTTTTTTTTTTTTTAATCTCATCACGTTAGCTCGTGGGTCTTAATTCCCTGACCAGGGATCAAACTCACATCCCCTGCTTTGAAAGGCAGAGTCTTAACCACTGAGCTGCCAGGAAACTCCCAGTTGCCCCTTTTAACAGGCAAGGAAACTGGGATTCAGAGAGGGGGAGTAACGTGACTAAAGTCACACAGCTTTATAAAGGCTGGAGCTGAGATTTAAACCCAGGTCAGAGGGGTTCAGGGTCTGTGCTCTGAAACTTCCGTGGAGGAGGCCATTGGACATGCCCGGATGGGCTGAGTGAGCACATGAGCTGCTGGTTTGGGGGGTGACAAAGGAACTCATGCCAGCCCAGCCACCCCTCCTGAATTAAGTCATCTCTCCTCCCCGCAGCCACCATGAGATTCTGGGCCACCTGCCCTTCCTCGTCCACCCTCTCCTTCCTCTTTGTCATCTTCGCGGTGTCCACTGTTTTCCATTGCCACCGGCGCCTGGCCCTGGTGCCCACCCCTTGGGCCTATGCAGGTCGAGTGGTCTTGTTCCCCAGACACCTGCGTGGGGGCCTGTTCACCATCAATGCCATAGGCCGCCTGGGGAATCAGATGGGAGAGTACGCCACCCTGTACGCCCTGGCCAAGATGAACGGGCGCGCCGCCTTCATCCCGCCCCAGATGCACAGCACGCTGGCCCCCATCTTCCGAATCACACTCCCGGTCCTGCACGACGCCACGGCCAGGAGCATCCCCTGGGGGAACTATTATCTGAGGGACTGGATGGAGGAGCAGTACCGCCACATCCCCGGGGAGTACGTGCGCCTCACTGGCTACCCCTGCTCCTGGACCTTCTACCACCACCTCCGCGCCGAGATCCTCCAGGAGTTCACCCTGCACGCCCACGTGCGTGAGGAGGCCCAGAACTTCCTGCGGGGTCTGCGGGTGAATGGCAGCCGGCCGAGCACCTACGTGGGGGTCCACGTGCGCCGAGGGGACTACGTCCATGTTATGCCCAACGTGTGGAAGGGTGTGCTGGCCGACCGGGGCTACCTGCAGCAGGCCCTGGACTGGTTCCGCGCTCGCCACCGCAGCCCTCTCTTCGTGGTCACCAGCGACGACATGGCCTGGTGCCGGAGGAACATCAACAGCTCCCACCAGGACGTGGTGTTTGCAGGCAACGGCCGGCAGGGCTCACCAGCCAGGGACTTTGCGCTCCTCACACAGTGTAACCATACCATCATCACCGTGGGCACCTTCGGCATCTGGGCCGCCTACCTCACCGGGGGGAACACTGTCTACCTGGCCAACTTCACCCTGCCCGGCTCCCGATTCCGCATGGTCTTTAAGCCCCAGGCGGCCTTCCTGCCCGAGTGGGTGGGCATTGCAGCCAACCTGGGGCAGGCCAGAGGGAGCCACCCCTAGCCCCGCTCGGGTCCCTGCCGCCCCATCGGGCCCAACAGGCTTAGACACCCAAGTCTAAATCCAGGCTGTTCAGCTTCCCAACTGGGTGACCATGGACAAGTGACTTAATCTCTCTGTGCCTTAGTGTTCTACCTGAGAAACGAACCTAACGCAGGCTCCTTCTGAGAACAGGAGTTCGTGTAGTTCCTTGGAAACAGGTGTGAGGGTTGGCCACTCACAGGTTTGTGATTGGCAGGCCTGGACCTTTGGACTGCCTTGCAGTGGACACGTATTTTTGCCCTCTCCTTCTTTATAGCTCCAGGAGCGTGGAGCCCAAATATTTGGTGCTTGCCTCCTTGGAGGGTTTGGCAATGAAACTCTTTCTGCCCTCAGTTGGGGTGTTTGAGGCAGATAAAGAATTCAGGCTTTGGGTTTGATGGGGCCTTGTTTCATGAAAGAATGGGAAAGAAAATAGGATTTGAGAGGGAAGATCTCGGGGAGATAACCTTGGCAAGGAGGGGGAATCCCGAGAAGTGAGGATGGGGCGTCGGAGGGCCTCTCAGAGATGGCAGGACTCAACCCCAGGCCTGGCCGGCAGCAGCAAAGACACCCCAAGTCCGTAGGTGATGGAATCAGCAGGTTGGCCACGGAGGGGCGGGGCCATGGACTGTGCCATGGCCACGTCCACTGTGTGGGCAGGCGACTGACACCGTGGCAATGCCCGTGCCTGCAGGACCTCATGTGGAACCCTAATGTGGACTTAAGTTGGATTAAGTGATTAAAATACTGATTTTCATGTGTTTGGTGTAAAGTATGGAGATAACCAATATTTTTACTCCTTTTTGGATATTAAAAAAATTAACATACCAATATTTATGTTCACTTAAAATTTCCTCTGAACACAGCTGCACTGGCTTCGAAAACATTTCAGTCACATCTCTTTCTTATTTGAAAACCCTCTCCAAGTGTCTTTTTAAATTTTAATTTCCATTTCTTGGCGTCCATGTGAGGCTGAATGCCTTTCTGTTCATATATTGGTAATATTGTATCTCCTGAGAGCCATTTAGAGGCCCTGTTTACTTCCTTAGGGGCTTCCCAGCTGGCGCTAGTGGTAAAGAACCTGCCTGCCAACACCAGCCGAACCTGACTCAGGTTCGATCCCTGGGTTGGGAGGATTCCCTGAGGAAGGCATGGCAACCCACTCCAGTATTCTTGCCTGGAGAGCTCTGGACAGAGGAGTCTGGCAGGCTACAGTCCATGGGGTCGCAAAGAGTCAGACATGACTGACGTGACTTAGCATGCACGCACATTACTTTCTTAAGGCCTTGATGGTGTCATCCTGATGTGGAGTTAAGGCTACAGGGATGTTACAGCAGGAGGAGGGTCTGAAGGGGAAGGGAGTTGAGGAGGGAGGTTCTGTATTAGCTGGCTGTTGCTGTGTAACGAATTACCCCAAAACTTGTTAGCTTAAAGTCACAGCAATAGTTTGGCGTGACTTAGTTTCTGTGGGCTTCCCCGTTGGTTCAGTAGTGAAGAATCCGTGCCAGTGCAGGAGGCCTGGGTCCGATCTCTGGGTCGCACAGTGTTCTCGCCTGGGAAATCCTGTGGTCAGAGGAGCCTGGTGGGCTACAGTCCATGGGCTCACAGAGTCGGACACGACTGAGGGACTAAACAACAATAACAGCAGTTTCTGTGGGTCAGGAATTGAGGAGTGGCTTACTTGAGTGATTGTGTTTGGGATATCCAGGGAAGTTGCTGTCAGGTAGGGCCACAGTCATCTGAAGGCTTGACTGGGGTCAACTTCCATGGCTGGAAAATTGTTGCTGGCTCTTGGCTCTTGGCCAGATTCCTTTGATGTGGATCTCTGTGGGGTTGCTTGAATGTCCTACAACATGGCAGCTGGATTCCTCCAGAGAGAGAAGCCCAAGCGACCAAGGTAGAAACCTACCACGGAGCCTTACCTCGTCACACTGCGTCACTTCTGTCATGCCCAGTCCCTCACACAGAGCAGCCCAATTTATTGTGGGAGGGAACAACCCGAGGGCGTGATACCCGGAGGTGAGGATTATTTGGGGCCATATTGGAGGTCGCTGTACTAGTTTGCTAGCGCTACCAAACTCTAGCAGAGTTTGCGGTAGCAGAGTACCACAGACGGGGTGCCTTAAAGCACAGACATTCATGATCTCTCAGTTCTAGAGGCTTGAAGACTGAGATTAAGGTGTCGACAGAGCTGGTTTCCTGGTGAGGGGGGTGATCTGCTCCCAGCCCCTCCCCTTGGCTTGCAGACAACCACTCCCCGCATGACTTTACGTCTTCCCTCTGTACACACGTGTGTCCAGAGTTCCTCTTCTTGTAAGGACAGCAGTCATTATGAACTAGGGCCTTCCTAATGACCTCATTTTAATTTAATCACATCTGTAAACATCCTGTCTCCAAATACAATGGCATTCTGAGGTTCTGGGGTAGGACTTCAACACAGGAATTTTTTTTAATTTATTAATTTTTTTTACTTTTGATTGCACTGACTCTCAGTTGCTGTGTGAGGGCTTTCTCTAGTTGCAGCAAGTAGGGGGCTCCTCTCTAGTTGCAGCGGCTTCTCTTGTTGTGGAGCACAGGCTCTGGGCACACAGGTGTCCATAGTTGTGGCACACAGGCTTAGCTGCCCCACAGCAAGTGGAATCTTCTGGGACCAGGGATGGAATCCATCTCCCCTGCATTGGCAGGTGGATTCTTACCCACTGCGCCAGCAGGGAAAGTCACAATACAGGGATTTTTGTAGCGACACAGCTCAACCCATACCAGCTCCCAGCCTCCCTTCCCAGCCCTGCCCCCCAGAGTCAGATGGGTTTTACTCACTTTCTCTCTTTACTGCCATTCTCTCAGGGCCAGCCCCTTCTCCTTGGGACAATTCACCTGAGCCAGGATTTTTTCGCCACATTAGCTCTGTGGGAGAGATTCAGGCCAAAAGGATAGAGGAAGCTGAAAGCTGCCTTCTGGCTCTCTGTCAAGTGTGACAGCGTCCAAGCAGAGAGGTGGATGGCAGCCGTATGTCACATCTCAATAAAGTACTCACCTCTTCCTGTTGCCGGTCCAGATCTCATCTCCAGCGTTCCCCACCCTGCCCTTTGCCCTGGGAGGCTGTCTGATGTCATCTGCTGCGGCCTGAATGCTTGTGGCCACCCCCCACCCCCAATTCATATGCTGAAGCCTGAATCTCCAGTGTGTTGGTATTTGGAGGTGGGCCNCTGAATGCTTGTGGCCACCCCCCACCCCCAATTCATATGCTGAAGCCTGAATCTCCAGTGTGTTGGTATTTGGAGGTGGGCCTTGGGAGGTATTGGAAGCGTTATGTTGTAAGAGGGAGGCCCTCATAAATAGGATCGGTGCCCTTGTAAGAGAAGTGAGAGGCAAGTCTGTCTCTGCTAACTTTTTTTTTTCCCCTACAGTTTTTAAATTTTTTTATTCTTTATTTTTGGCTCGACTGGGTCTTCGTCCTTGCTGTGCAGTTTCTCTCTAGTTGGCGATGAGTGGGGGCTGCTCTCTCGCTGCTGTTCGCCGGCCTCTCGTTCTCTTGTTGTGGGGCATGAGCTCTTAGGGCACATAGGCCTCAGTAGTTGAGGCCCATGGGCTCCGCACTTGTAGCTCTTGGGCTCAGTTGTTGTGTTGAACAGGCTTAGTTGTTCTTCAGCATGTGGGATCTTCCTGGACCAGGGCTCAAACCCCTGTCTCCTGCATTGGCAGGCGGATTCCTCACGAGTGAGCCACCAGGGACGCCCCCAACTTTTATCTTTATAAGGGCAACGGTGCAAGTTGGCCAGCTACCAAAATCAGTTCAGTTCAGTCGCTCAGTCGTGTCCGACTCTTTGTGACCCCATGGACTGCANCAGGAGACTTAAGAGATGAGGGTTCAATCCCTGGGTCAGGAAGATCCCCTGGAGGAGGACATGGCAGCCCACTCCAGTATTTTTGCCTGGAGAATCCCACGGACCGAGGAGTCTGGTCAGCTACAGTCCACAGGGTCTCAAAGAGCTGGACACAACTGAGACAACACAACTGGAGAATTCCACGGACAGAGGAGCCTGGCGGGTTACAGTCTGTGGGGTTGCAAAGAGTCAGACATGACTGGGCGACTAATACTTCAGTTCACTACACTTGGTGCCTGAAAGCCAGCCCATGCCTGTTCTGTCCACTGGCAGGACCCCTTCTGCTCGGAGACCTCCTGGGAGGTCTTCCTCCAGCACCTAAAGGTCCCCAGTATGTGCAAGAAAAGACGTGCAGGAGAGCAGCACCCTGCTTCCCGCCTGACACAAACTCCTTAGTGGGTTTGCAAATCCTTCAACACCTTCCCCCTGCTCCTCACCAGAGGGGACAAAAGGATGCCAGAAGAACAGGGGGACTACTTAGCATCTCTGAAGCCAGAGATCTCACAGTCCAGCATTCTAGACAGCATCAGCGCATCCTATGTGTTTATTAAGAGTTGAAATGTGAATTGTGTCCCCTTAAAAGATGGGTTGAAATCCTAACCCCCAGTACCTCAGATGTGATATTTGGGAAAAGGGTCTTTACACATGTAATGAGTTAAATTGAGGGCTTCCCTGGTGGCTCAGTGGTGAAGAATCTGCCTTCCAATGCAGGAGACAGGAGTTTGATCCCTGGGTGGGGAAGATCCACTGAGGAGGGCATGGCAACAGGCTCCAGTATTCTTGCCTGGAAAATTCCTGTCTCCAGAGGAGCCTGGCGGGATACAGTCCATGGGGTCGCAAAGAGTCACACACACACAGTGAAGTAGCACCCTACTTCACTTACTCCAACACGAAAGCCCGGGATGACGGAGGCAGAGATTGGCTTTCAGTGTCCAAAGCCGTGAGAGAATAATTTCCTATTGTTTTAAGCCACCCTGTTTGCAGTATGCTGTTCTAATAACCCTGTAAAACAAACAGCAGTGATAAATGAATGTTGACTGAATGGGCTGAACAAGTGCTGGCTCAGCACTGAGTTGCTGGCTTAGGACACCAGCAGATTACAGCTGCAAGTCCCCGAATGCCCTGCCCCAGGATCTGTGTTCCTGCTCGGAGCCTGGGAGCCAGGGGCCATTAAGAGGACAGTGGGGCTGAGTCCAGCAGGGTGGGGCCTGGCTGAACCTGGGAACCTGCCAGAGGCTACACAGGTGTGGCCCAGGGGTGACCTACAGCTTGTAAGTAAGTCCCCAAAAGGCTCAGAGCCCATTAACATCACGTGAGCGTTATCTTAACAGAAGAGACTTGGACTTATCAGTTAGATGCCTGGACCGGAACCAAACCAACCCAGCTGGGGCAGGAGGTGGGGGAGGTGGGTCCCTTGGGTCCTCCCCACTTGTTAATTTGAGTCCAACCAGAAAGTCTCCTGGGTGGGACAACCCTCTTGGGCCTTCTTGGACTGAAAGGAGCCAGGGAGGCTGGGTCTTTGAACAAGGTTCATTTGAGGCTCAGCTGGGGCTCAGGCGATTCAGTCTTATCACCTACAAGCTCCAGATAAGCCCCCTTCCTCATGGCCAATGAAAGAGAAGCCACCCCACTTCTGATTCAGCACCCTGACCCTCGGCAACCTACTTTCTGTGTCTATGGATTTGCTTTCTCTTGACATTTCCTATAATATGTGGTTCTTTGGCTAGGCATCATTTTTAACATTTTTAAGAAATTATCTCTGTTTCTTTTTTAAAAATAGTTGTCTCTGGGTTTTAGTTGCGGGATGTGGATTCTCCCGCCGCGACACGGGGCTCAGTTGCTCCACGGCATGTGGAATGTTAGTTCTCTGATCAAGG